AGTAAATATCAGTAGACCTGTAATCCTCTTGATTTTGTTTTAACTGCAGACCATAGGTAAGACATTGGTATCAAATTTCCAGTTGCATTCTTGTATAGTTGTAGTTGTTCCAATAGACAATAATGTGTTAGGTCTATTTCTTTCATATTATTTTGTGTACAGTAATAAAACTTAATACAGGTTTATCTTGAGGAGTTCTTATTTCTGGCAAAAGTAGATTAACCTACTTTAAACATATTTTATAGTCTTTTTATGTACCTGCCATTAGGTGGAGTGTATTACATTATGGTGTTGTCCATCAGACCTTTTTTCCTTTCATTACCATTTTTGTTTCCACATAATGTCTTGAGTTATCAACCATTTAGCTAACACTTTGGATGGCTTGCAATTAGGTTATCAAGGCACTGAAATTAAGCTTTGTGATATGATCTCAGTTAAGAAACTTTAAGATGTACCAACAGAAATTTTTTTTTTAATATTTGAGAAAATGCAGTTTATATAAAAGAAGTTGGATCTTACTTTTTAAATATAAAATATATTTGTTACCATCACCTTCACTTTTATTTCCTTTTAACTTGTTTATGAACATATTCAGACCTATTCATCACAATCATTTTGGTGTAATTTTACGCTTTTTAGCCTCAAAATATGCAGAGCGTGGAGATGTAATCTTAGGCATTCATGCCAAATTTATTTTATAAAGAATGATAGAGAAATCACAAAAAATGAATGCTATTTGACCCTGACAATGACCATGTACCTTTAGTAAAAATATCAGTTTGAATTCAGACATATAAATGTTGTATCAGTACTCATGGAACTGTCAAGAAAGGGAGATATTATTCTAGATTTGTTTATTATGCAGATCTGATTTTTCTTGTGCTCATGGTGGATAGTTCAACTGTAAGTGACTTGTGAAGTCTTAAAGGTACACAGGGTCTTTCCTTTATTTGTTCATTGAGTTATTTGTTTAGGTTTTGATACTTGCACTTAAGGTAATAAAAAAATCTGTGGATTCCTTATTTTACTGGCCAAAGATCACATTCACTGTAAAACTAATAAGGAAAAAAAAATGAGATCATTCCCCCAAGTCAGTGATATCCTACAGGTCCCTACATTGAGACTATTAAACAAACGATGACAATCTCTTTTTACAAATGAAAGAGATTGGTTTGACCTCTTCAGTGATAAATTTCTAATTTATCCAGAGCATCCTAAAAAATCTGGGTTGATCATTTGCACAGGACATAGATGCCATCACGACAACAACAATGTTGCTTTTCTTTCCATGTAATTTTCTTACTGTGTTATTTACATTGTGTGAGTCTAAAGCACTCACCATTCCAGATCACTGCTGTATCACCTCTGTCAGCATGGGTTCAATCCTCAGGCTCAGCTAACGTGTGTACATGAGAAAGCTTGCTCGTAGTTTCTCATTGGTCAGTGGTTCTTCCCTGTGTTTTACAGGGTTCTTCCTCCACATTATACTGGCCCCATGTATAGCCTATCTTGTGCTGAAAAATGGCAATAAACCCTACAATAACGACAACAGAAACAACTCTTCTATATTGATCAGGAGTGATATCTAAGGAAATGTGGATGACAAAACCCCAAAACATCTCAAAAGATGGAGACCAGGAAGGATTGCCCTGTCATGCCTTGAGAGCAGTGCCATGTTGACAATGCCCTTGTAGTTCTGATCAACTCAGAATAGTTTCCAGAAGAACCAGTTCTGGTAGGCCCTTTCCCCATTTGTGTCCCCTTCATCCCACTATTTGATGCAGGTGAAGGAGTAGGAGAAATCTGAACTTATACTAAGGTGCCAAGTGAGGTTTATTGCCTCCAAAGCTGAGATTTTTCTTAAAATCTGCTGATTTATTTGCTTCAAAGTTTTTTTTAGATCAGCAAAAATGGGGGGGGGGCAGGTAGAGAGTCTGATTAAGTTTGTTAGTGAATTTGCCATGTTTCTTGCCAAAAAAGACAGAAGTATCCAGATTGTGTGTTTAATCAATTAACATGTATGAAAGTAAAGCTTGAGCCAGTCAAACAATGCTTTTCAAATGCTCACTCACTTCAAGAATAAATTGGGTGCTAGTATTTTGTACCCCTACCCCATCACCACAAAAAAATGAAATAAAAAATATTGATCAGGATGTGAAGAATAAATTCTTGTTGAAATGGTTGTTGCATGGCACTGAGTTGAAGATGTGAAAATAAATCTGTGATAATTAAATGCAGTGATACTTTTGTCAGATTGGATTTAGCTAGACAGGCACTGTGTAATTTGTGTGCAAATTAACCATAATAAATTTGTGGCTGAAAATCATATCAGCTAAAACCTATGACAAGTTTGAAGCAAATTTGCTCCAGACTAAACATGGACAAGTTTTTTTGTCAGTAATTTTAGTTGATCATAAAGATGTATGAACTAATCATTAAAAATGCTTTTCATTCCAAATTTCTATTTATTATGCATTTATGTCAAATTTTAAAAAAAAAAGACTTAGATGGGTCTAAGTGAGAAAAAAAAACTTGTTACTTTATGCATTTTTCCTCTTCTTTCTTAGTATCCTGTTTACAGGTCTGTGCCACCTTCCCCCATACCTGTGTCCAAAGACTATGGTAGCTGAACATCATTTTCTCCAGTTTTGGGATACTTCATGTGGGCCAGTTTCATTCAGATCTGTTTCTCCCAAACTCTGTCATGATCTTGAGTTAATCAAAAGTTATCTCTGAGCCAAGAGGTTGCCAGACTCAATAAGGATGGCCTGTCCTATCTTCTATGCCCCAGCCACTGGTTTCCACCTCCAGTTATTGGGTCCATTACCCTGTTTGATCATAAAGCACATGTGCATGTACACATACCTTGTGGGAATATTAGTTCTTGGCTGTCTCTTTCAGATTGTTGAAGGAAGAAATGTTACAGCCTTTACAGTGCTTTGTTGGAAATTGCAGTGAAAATGTTAAGGCATGCAATTTTGATCTCCTTGGCACTTTTTGCAGAATCCCGTTTGGAATCTTCCAAGGTTTTGCTGTATTGCAACAAACACCTGTTCACTGCTGCTCCGTTTGGTGCAGAGTTACATTTTGACAGTCTATTCCCCTATGTGGCATCAGAAGACTTAAACAACCAACTGCACCCATCCCTGGCCATAACTCAAGGCCTATCTAAACTGGCCAAGAAGAATCTCATTCAAGTGGACTTCCTATCATGATTTTTAAATAGACAAAAATGTCAACAGCCACAAAAGTCACCCGTTTAAAACCCCTTTCTGCTCATCTAATTTGAGACAAAGTGGTTACAGAGGCCAAAGGAGAAAGCTTTGGTCTCCTCACCCTTTTGTTATGTGAGAAAGCTTGCCAGTAACTTCTCGTGGGTCAGTGGAGTGGTTCTTTCTGCAGATTTCCTGGTTACTTCCTTCACCATTAATACTGGCTGCCATGTATAGCCTATCATGTGCTGAAAAATGGCATTAAGACCAACTGCAACAACACTTCCCCCTTTTGTTAGGAGGAAATAGTAAGCCTTAGAGAAAAATTTCTGTTCATTGGCAATAAATGTAGGTGACATAAAATTGGGACAACTTTATCATTTGTAGGTAAGTTTTGACACAGTTACATCCCTTGTGATTTAGAGTTATACATTTGTCTCAATTTAGTTTTAAGAAGATATTGTATCATAAGACATATTGTTGAAGTTTACACTATATGTAAAAAAATATGGTAGTGGAAAATATAAGAAAATAAAATTTGGGATCTAACATCTGTCAACTTTTAGGACAAAACATCTGTTATTGCTGATCCCACAAGTAGTGTATCAGTTCTTTTTATGAATTATACCTTCATTCTTTGGAACCAATTGTTTAATTCTGTCACTTAACTCCACGGGTCCTTTGGTAGCTTGATTTGAATCTGACATTACACCACTTTGAGTACATTTGATGTAATTGGTATCACTGTCCCCATTATAGATAACACCAGACCGGAATGGATTCTGATCCATTGTGAGAAAATGAGGAAAATTCAGTCAAGAAAAGGACATAAATTAGTTGCCCTATCTTCTTTGGTTTGATGCATCCAGTCAGGAACATGACAAGAAGTGAAATGACAATTTCTAAAATGAATCCTAATCTGGTGTACCACAGAAGGGAAAATTTATAAAACTTAAGAGGAGCTGATACTGTTTCACTTGAGGGTGCTGTTGTAGTAGTACTTACAATCACAGATGACATGGTGCTGGTCATTGCATCTTCTAAAGAAATGCTTCCATTCAAACAGCAACCAACTGGAGTGAATTTGAGAGTTCCTAGCATTGCAGATATTGTTACCAAATCAAGCAGTTAATTTATTTATTCATCGTGTGCAGTGCATGCCCAACCATTTAACAAGCGTCATCATCAGCGAGGTGCTGAGCCTGCAGTTCACCAGGGAACTTTCTCAATGGATAGTTATTCATTGTGTGTGACATGGTCTGTAGAGCACCACAGCTACTGGAAAAGTCAGTGGCCTGGTCCAACAGACAAGGTTGACTGCACAATGACCCTAACCTGTCCGGAAACGATTCAGAATGGTCCTTAGATGTGGAAGGTTGAAGCCAGGAGGGTAGACAGATGGCTTAGCTACGAGGGAGTGGTTTACAATATCAGTGGAATACCACTCATAACTATACAGAAATGGCTGTCATATCCTCTGGCAACAGACCTAAGCCGGTTGTGTAGCAGGATGTGAGGTGATGTTCATGTACGGTAGAAGTTTCTCACTGGCATAAACCCTCGCCAGCAGTTTTGTGGCTTCTTTCTGGCGACGGAGATGTGGAAGAGGAATGTTGCTGAGTATTGGCAGCCAAGGTAAACAAGTAGAGCGCAGTGTTCCATAGATTATTGGCAGCCAAGGTAAACAAGTAGAGCACAGTGTTCCATAGATTATTGGCAGCCAAGGTAAACAAGTAGAGCGCAGTGTTCCATAGATTATTGGCAGCCAAGGTAAACAAGTAGAGCGCAGTGGTGACCTAATGGTTAGAGCGTCCGCCTCTGATGCGGGTGGTCGCGGGTTCCAAACCCGGCCTAGTCATACCAAAGACTTATAAATATGATACTAACAGTTGTCTTGTTAGGCGCTCAGCATTAAGAGGTTAGTGTTAGGACTGGTCGGCCGGCCTGGTGTTAGGATAATGTGATTGGATGGAACATGCCTGAAGTATGATGCCACAGTGCTAGACGTCACTATAAACATCACTGCAGACATCATAGCGATGTGAATGAAAATGTTTTAAAAGCTACATTGAAAATCCAAGTCACACAATGTTTATGTCAATAACTTGTGTTTTAGGCATGGCATTGATATAAACTTTGAATAGACTTGACAAAAGAACAGATCCAAGTGGGAGTCCATTAGTCTCCTCGAGCTTCAGCTGTCTCGGATGTGCACTCTGAAGTGCCTGTTGCCAAGGAGTGGTTCAGTAGTCTCAACTATTCAGCGTGGCAATACTCTGGAAATGTTCAACAACAGCCATGCATGCCAGACCGTGTCATATGCCACTGTTAGAAATGTAGTCATAGCAATGAAATTCGCTAGAATTGGAGAACAGTAATGAATGTTTAATTTTGATTTTAAAAAAGTACATAGATACTAGGAGTTGAATAACTGCATTCCATGATTTATGGAAAGATCAAATCAACATTTTATAAATATATAAAACTATATTCTACATACTTGTACTTATTGGAAACAGGGAAAAAAATTGCAACATTCCTTCAATATTTTAAAATGTTTTATAAGAAATTATCTTCTTTATACTCTATATTAGTTTTTGTTGCAGCATTAAATGTTGGAGCTAGGGGCCCCGAGTGGTCTAAAGCGCTGTCCGTTACGGATCACTGCCATCTCACCTCTGTCTGCATGTGTTAGAGTCTAGGATTCAGAGAATGTGGATATGTGGGAAAGCTTGCCAGTAGCTTCTCGTGGGTCGGTGGTTCTTTCCCGTGATTTCCCGGTTTCTTCCTCCACCATTAATACTAGCCGCCATGAATAGCCTATCGTGTGCTGACAAATGGCGTTAAGCCCAACAACAACAAAAAAAAAAAACAAAAACAAAAAAATGTTGGAGCTGGAGGGCCTATAAATCAGTCCATGGTCATTACTAATAATACTTGTTGACATTCTATATTACCTTGGCGATATTTCCAAATCTCCAAGATTTCTTCATGCATGTACATGAAATGAAGTGTTTGTTTGCTTTAAATGCTCAGGTACTTGCTAACTAGTCGAGAGTCATATTTTAACATCTTTTTTAGATGTCTTGAGAAGAAGGTATTCTTTTATTCTGGAAAGAGTTGTTCATTCCTACGTATGAAGAATAACGTGTTTTGTTATTGAGGATAGTTATTGAGGATAGTTGTACTTCGTCTACATTCTAAATAATAATTATTTTCCCTGAAGAACTACACAACTGGCTTTGGACAAAAACATTTACTGAAATTAATTCTAAATTGGAACAGGACAGTACAAATTGTGATTCATATTGAAAATTCTGGACACTTGTGTAAAAGCTTCGTCTGATATCATCCGCCATCTAGGAACTGGATTGAGATTTAGTCTACTTTAATTAGAACTGTTTATTCACTGGAGGTATGTTTTTCACAATTTTAGGACAAATGTTTTGATTTTACCTTTTCACCATGTTTTCTAGGGAAATAAATTATTTTTGTTAAAATTTACAAATCTTGTTGTCTTTGCTCTTTTCTAAATGTTGCTTTAAACTAGTCAGTGCGTAACAATATTTTTCTATAAGTGAAAAAGAAAGAAAAAGAAAATATGCAGTTTGATAGAAGTAAAGAGTTCAACAACAGTAAAATTATTTGTTTGATGGAAACGTCAGAATTAAATATTTTCAACCAATATTTGGTGGAAAGGATCTTTTTTGATACAAATGCATTGGGTTTGATTAGTAAGTCAGTTTCGGGTTTGGTAGGAAATTAAAGAATTGTAGTTCAAAATAAAGATGGAAAATAGAGTTATGAAAACTTAAGCTTCAGAAGGTAATGATTAAAGTTCAAGTGCAGAAAGAAGAAAGGGAAATGCAGAGAGAAAAAGAAGAAAGAGAAATGCAACTTCATATACGGGGAAAGAAAAGGAAAAGGCAGATAGAGAGAGAGAGAGCCAGAGGAGACAAAAATCCAGATTTGGAGAGAAAAAGAAGAGAGGGCATAGAGAGAGAGGGGGGAGATCAATTGAAATAAAAGAAACCCACCCCTTTAAAAGAAAGAAATAGGTCAATATTTTCCTATTCTTGATAAAATTCTTGAAGGTTTGAGATGGCCAAGAAAGCATTGAATTTTATTATTTTAAAATATTGTAGCGATATGACTGAAAAATTGTTAAAGCTAAGTTAAAAATCATAATCACATCACATTCCATCTGATTAGATACCGGTGGCCTCTTTGAGAACTGCCTAGGGTAGTAGCACCGATTTGATATAATGTCGGGTTTTCCGGTCTCTAAGCCTAATTAACTGCTAACTTTACTGTGGCTAAGTCATGATCAGGTATTTTCTTTGTTTCAGAATTGGTCTAAAGTCGTATTATATCACATGGATTGACATTACCCTTAGTACTTTGAATTACGAATTCTTTCAGAAAACATTGGTAAACATAAGGCAGGAATTGTTAGAAAATTTTCTCAAGCAACGTGACAAACTGCATGTAAAGCATCACGTTTCTGTATTGTATAGCATTCTTCACTTTTGATTTCAGCGTATTAATTCAACTGGTTTTGTAGCATACTTCGTTTTATTAATTTGGTTTTGTATCTTATAATCCATAAGCAATTTTGTTCATAATGGAAATAAAACATTTTCATTTCGTATAAGTTTCTTATGAGCAAAATTGTAGTCTTAAATTGTATGGATTTGTATGCAACCAGTATTACTATTACCACGTATTTTGCTACATTTTTGTCCCCTTGATTTCCGTTTGTACATCTGAATGGACGAACAAGAAAACCATACGAGCAATTTTTTTTAAAGTATTCGATAGCTGATTTTTGCTTTGTTTTATCTAAATCCCACACCACTCTGAAAAGCACAACTTTCAGCCTAGTATAATTAATCTTTTCCACGTCTATGTGGTCTCAAGGTTATACTCCACAACTTCCACCATTCATTGCACATCGAAGTCGGTTAGTATTTTATGTCTAACTCCCGGTAGCTTTAAACTTGCATAATGGACACATTACTAATGTATTGAAACGTTTGTAGCGCTTCATACAGACATTCTTAAATTCTTCAAATAATTCATACAACAGTATGGGGTATCTTATCCATTTACTGGTAAGGGTCATTGGATACATCTGAATCGGGAAGTGTCATCACTTGTGTTGTACAAGTGTACACCTTTTTATTAGGTAGCAAAAGAAAAATTTCCAAGCTATCCGTGTGTTCGTATAGACAGATATCTTTTCAAAGGTTCCCTCTGTTCAAAGCATTTCATTCTCTCTATAATTACAAATTTCATCAACTTAAATTACTGAGCAATACGCTCAAGAGATTCAACTTTGCACCCAAACTGTCAACTGTTATGAGAGTTCTTTTGTTATTTCATTACCGTCCATAGGTAAGAATAAACAATAAATTGTTTGCAAAATAAACTATATTTCTAATAATTATTTGACATTGTTTCTCATTTCAGCTCTTTTTAACTATCGTCTTGATAAAGTATCATTTGTTTATGTTGTTGTAGGGTTAAACGCCATTTTCAACACGAGATAGGCTAAACATGGCGGCCAGTATTAATTTTGGAGGAAGAACCTTGGAAAAAAACCACAGACCCACGAGAAGCTAATGGCAGGCTTTCTCACGTACCCACGTTAGCCGAGCCTGAGACTCGAACCCACAGTATCATTTGTCATGCCGAGACAACTTGTAAATTATCAAAAGGATACACTTGAATGTCTAATTCAGTCTTTATGAGACTGACATTTGTAAATTCAAGTTGACATGGTAGAAATTTTGTGGGTGGGTGGGTGGGTAACAGACTAGTGAATGCATTGCATCACCAATGCACAGTTAATGCCCCTGAGGAAACCCACTGGTATTAAGTTCATTCAAAGAAATTTATTCAAGTCTTAAATTAGATTTCTCCAGGAGCTTTTGTCAGTTTCCTAGCCTGACCTACTTAAACTCAGTGTAGTTTCTAATTTATAAAAAATGCTTCTCCACTCCTTTTCACTTTTAACTGCAGATAATGTAGTCATCTCAGATATACTTAAGGCTCACAATGAATAAGATTTGCTAAAAAAAAATATTTTTATTTTAGAGTTAACATGTTCACATAACTGCAGCAAAATGAAATCTGCCATGACCTTTGACCCAAACTCTTACACCATGGATCATTAAACTCCTCATGGGTGCTGTCAACTTATACCCAAAGTTTGCTTTAATCCATAATTAACCTTTTTTTAGAACAAGCCAAAGTTCCGATATGATAACCCTACCAACATCTTGGCGGAATAGAATATTGGTACCATGCCCTAGCGATATCTATTGGATTTAGTGAGTTGCCCCTTTAGAATGTAATGCCAACTAATGGCTTGGTGCATTGTACATTGGCTGAAAATGTTGGAGACAATGACCTAAAGAGGATATTTTGTAAGATTAACATAGAAAGTACAACTATGTACCAGAGGAAAGCCATTATGGGTGTATTTGAGTGCAATGTATTTGTGCAAACACACTGATTGGAAAATTGCTTATTTATTATTCCATTAAAATTATGTGCTCCCTTACCTAGACCATGTAGGAACAGTGTTCAAATATGAAAAACTTAATTTTTATATGATGCAATGAAATTCACAGACCCGGAGTACAGAAATATCTGTTCCATATACAAGTGTAGATAGGGTTATCACATCTAAATCTTGCCAAGCAAAGATGAATATTAGCACATTATATACTTGTCATATATTTCAGTCTGTAATTTTGGATAATTATGGGTAGAAACCATTTTTCTTTAAGTGACCTTGACAATTTGACCAGAAGATCAACATGATGCTTCCTTACTCCAACCAAAGTTTGA